ATAGCCATCAATCAGTTGATACATCCGTGTTTCTGCAAGTCTGTCCATTGATACGTTTGTCCAAACCGGCTCGTTGCGTGTGTCTGCCTGACCATCGACCTGTCCTCCATCCCTCTGTTGGAATGTCTGTCTGTCGTCTGTCCATTTGTCTCTTGCTCTGTCCGCCTGCGCGTCCGTCCGTCTGCTCATCCGTGGCTCTCGTCATTACATTTACCCACGTGCGTGTTCCATCTCTCCGGCCCCTCGCGTCCGCCCCATCCGCCCCTGCGGGCTCTCCCAAAGTGTCGCGCGCCGCTACCCGCCGCCTCTCCCGTTGCCTCTCTCCCTTTCTCTCCCTTTCTCTCCCCTCCCTTTGAGCTCCATAGTAACCGCACTCAAAGGCTTCGAAGAGCCATCTGCTCCCGACTTCAAACGCGCAACCCTGACCTCCAGCCTGCCCTGCCTCTCCTTTCAATCTCCCTCTCTCTCCCCACCCCACCGCCAGCCTCCCCCTTTCGCCCCTTCGCCTCACTCCCCATGCGCCCCCCTCCCGTCCTACAGGGAGCCGTTCCGCCTGGAGTGTTACAACAAAGCGATTGCCTATCAAGTTCCAGCCATTTCCCATCACGTCCCATAAATTCCCCGTACGGTTCCACGCATTAGCCTTAAAGTTCCATAAATTATCGCTCAAGTTCCCGGGGTGCCCGGCGGTCACGTGCCCGGCGGATTGTTACATCCGCAGGATCGCGAGAGGTAGCGTGGCGGCTTGCGGAAGGCCTTCATCCAGCAGTGGATTGGCCATGGCTGATGATGATGATTAACTATCTGTAAATTAGGCGTTCAATTTTAGAAATAATGCATCTCTTTTCCCATATATCACTTGTGAATTTTCAGAAGTTACTCCACGAATTCTACAAATTGCTGATCAGTTTTAAGAAATTAATGATCACACCATAAAAAAAAAAACTGGTACATTAAATTCCATATTTTTTCCGCCAAGTTGGGTGGATTATTCATCGTACCCAATACATTATTGATTATGCTTCGGATATCATCATCATTCGGCAAGTAAAAAAAGCAATCTCAGCAAGTTTCAGATATTATCGATCAAATTCACGAAAATACCTTTGGTGGCTATTCACTTAGCCAGTAACCCAGCGCTGCCGAGGCAGCGAGGGTTGGTGGATTACCGCACACAAATGTTGTGAACCTCCCTTCTACGCGTGGACATCGAGGGGGAGCCATACCCTGGCCTGGAACAGACGAAATAGCGAGTGTGGCTTAATATCATCTGCCCCCATCTCAATTGGATAAGAGTACTGCCCCTGTGGGTTATTTCCATGCCCTCTGATTCTCTCCCACATGTATAAACACTCATTAACCCTTTCCCGTTTCCAAGACGACTGCAAGTTGCAGGGTGGCGTCTCGTTCACCGCTGAATCTCAGAACGCGCAAGCGGGTTCAGTGTTTAATGTATTGTGTAAGAAGCTTAGCGCCGTTGTTTTTAAAGATGTTGTACTCACCGCAGAGAACCGTAGCGGCACGATCGCACTCTACGATAGCTGGCACCAAACTGTGCCACATGCCCTCCCGCGTGGCCTTGTGGAAGCCTTGGTACCTTCTTCTTCTTAGCGTTATTCCCGCTGTGGCGCAGGGTCCGCTTTTCGGCATTGTCTTCTCCATTTGGCTCGGTCCAGGGCATCTTCAGGGGATGCGTTGACCGTCTTTATGTCTTCCTTTATTTGATCCATCCATCGCTTCTTCGGACGTCCGCGTGGACGGCGGCCCTCTGGCTCAATACGCATGGCAGTCTTGGCCACTGATGACTTTTCACTTCGCATCACGTGGCCGTACTACCGAAGCCTTGCCTCAAGCATCTTGTCCGCAATTGGGGCCACACCAAGTCGCTTCCGAACGTCTTCGTTCATGACACGATCCCATCGAGTGAGTCCGAGGCTCCATCTGAGCATCCTCATCTCCATGGTGTGGAGAGCTTGTTCGTGTACAGTTGTGGCTGGCCAGCACTCGGATCCATAGAGTGCCACCGGTCGGACGATGGTCTTGTATATTTTTCCCTTCTGCCTATCCGGCATTTTCCGATCACAGAGGACTCCGGTGATTTGCCTCCACTTCATCCACGCCGCATTGACTCGTGACCTTACATCAGTCGTGATGCTACCATCTGAGCTGATGGTGGAGCCCAGGTACTTAAAGTCCGTCACTTTCTTCAGATCTTCTCCGTCAATGCTGATGGTGCCGTCGGTTTGGGGGCCACACTCCATATACTCCGTCTTTTTGATGTTGAACCTCATCCCGTTTTCGTCCAAACGTTCCTTCCACATGCCCTCCCGCGTGGCCTTGTGGAAGCCTTGGTACCAATAAAGTGATTCTACTTGAGTTTTTCTTCTGGTTCCGTTTTGATGACTTACACGTACGTTATCACAACGGCTTAGGCGGATAACACCTTCATATATAGAAAACCGTAGAGCTTGGGCAATTGCTGGTATCAGCTTTTCGTGTGGCTGCCTTCCCACTTGCATGTGGTTCCTCGCGGCTCTGAGTCGTACTCTCTCTCTTCGAAAGAACGCTTTCCAGTGAATATTTTAAATTATTATAAGACAACTTCATAGAAGAGTGTATATAGTTGCGTGTTTAACCTCTCATGAATTGGCTGAAAAGGTCTTATTATGAAAATATACAAAGCAGAACTTGAAATTAGTCTAGAATTAGTCTGTGGTAATAATAACAACTATTATTTGACTTCCATACATCACCCATTACATTTAATAAAATTGCCGACCATGTAGTGTACATTACCTACGATGTTTCAGACGTTATCTGTTCGCCAAGAAAAAAATTGGCGACGCATATGCAGAGACTAAGGATCGCATCAAGAATTCACAGCTTGAAATTTGGTGGTTCACTAAAAGTTGGCCAAATGTCATCTCTGAGAATAAAAAAAAAACATTTTATTGACGACGAACATTCGTAGCCAGAACATATTTTTTCAAGGTCGTACCCCGAGCGTGGACGAAGAGGCCAACCTAAGGCACTCGCAAGTGGTTCAGTGACGTCATCGTCCGAGGTGGCCACGTGACACGGCATGGTGCACCGTGAGTTGCAGCAGCAATTGGAGCGGAGCTATCTTCGTCACGTGGCATGACACAATTGGAACGTAATTTAGAAACAAAATACCCCCGAAAAGTTCCATAAAAAATATCTTAAGTATATATAAAATATATGGATTGTGAACATGTTCCCGCCATGTTTTCGAAATTAATAGGCAAGGCGTTTGGTTAAATGCTGGCTGTCAAAATCGGTCCAGAGTTGAACGTCTCTTACACCATCTCTGCAGATATTGTGCACTTCCCCGAAGGCATTGTGGCTGATGTGATGTGTCAAAAAATACTCTCATGTTGTGTGGAGGAACATAGTTTAAGTTTAATGAATCCCCAATGAGGTATCGAAATGTATCCATCAGTTTCAACAAGTTCGTGACAAAGCTGCAGAAACTACCTATTAGGTTTAAAATAATTGCCAATCAAGTTCCAGATATTAATGATCCACGTGAAAAATTGTCCGTTGAGTTCAGAATAATGTATGATCTGATCTTTTAACGGAATCATTCGTCCTATAAATTACCCGTTTCTTTATAAAAAATTCCATTAATTTATATAGAGGCTAATCAAGTTCCATGCACGAACCGTCATGTTTAAAAAAAAGTAACATTGTTTTCGATTTAAAGCTTTCGTGACTGCAGGGATTCATCTTCTTGGTTTTTTCGGTAAAGTCACGTAGAATGTGACTTTACCGAAAGAACCAAGAAGATGAACATTGTTTTGTTCAGAATATGCAGTACCTTCACATTTCAGAATAATGCTGGTCACTTCACCCGCCTGGAGAGCTTCAGAGCCTCAAGACTCATTTCCAGGAGAGTGCTGCTACGTTGCGATGTCTGGCCATGAATGCCATGATATTGTCAGGTCGGCTTCTCGTTGTAGGAAACCAGAGAAAGCCCACCACGGCATAGCAGGGGGTGATACTCAGCACCGCCGGTGGCGAGGGGTGGGGGGACAGGGGGGTGAGGGCCACCTTGCAACCCCCACGCCCCCATCTTCAACACCTGGCAAAGCCCTGGTGGTCGCTCACATACAAAGTCACACATCGGCTCAGTCAAGCGGGGGCATATTGCAGTTCGTCAAGATCCCTCGCTGAGGTATCGAGAATTTTGTCACGAGGGTCCCGCCCAGTTTTCGCCCTAGGGGAGGGGGCCATGATTGCTCTGTGTTCGATAGTTTTTCATACCGAGGGGATGATTTTGTTTTTCGAATTTGGCCAATAATGTACCGCGACGCAGGCACGCTCATGGCCCAACTCTCGCCAATGACGTCACGGGAATCTATCAACGGCCGCCGTGCAGTATTAACCAGGGCGGCCGCTGGCTTCTAATTCGTGAACCTCTCCGCAAGGCCACTGTGTGCCCTACGCGGCACACATGTCATTTAAATTTGTAAACTAAAACTATTTCAAACGTCTTTTATTTTTTTGACCAACTAAGGCCAACAATTGATAACTCAACGAAGTGGTTCACAAAGTGGAAATGTAAAGCAGCCAAATACTCTAAATGCGTGATAGTGATTCTAAATGTGGAGGGGGGGGGGGGGGGGGGGGAACCGCAGGAGCCGGAGAAAAATCGACGCGACCACGGGGAGAACGTCCAAACTCCAAATATACAGCAGCAGGCGTCAGGGTCGGGATCGAACCCACGACATCCTGTATACCAGGCGAGGGAGTTAACATCGATCCACCGTGGCGCACATTCACATAGCAACGTACACATTACAAATGCAATTACGTTTGTTGAAATGTAAATTGGCGCCAGAATTGCGAGATGTTAACTCAACTCGCCCGGTATCCAGCACCTCGTGGGTTCGATCCCGACCATGGTAATTGCTGTAAAACAAAAAGCAAAGTAGTTTTTTTTGTAATTTACGTTTTGCCCCACGTCTCCGCGCGAGCAGGTGGTGTTTGCACTCAATCAGTCGCTGTTGCAGCACGAGAGCGTGCGGGGCCTGTGGGAAGCGCGGGGAGGAGTGGGGGGCCCCTGGGAGGAGCCCCCCACTCCGAGCACGGAGCAGCTCATCCAGCACTACAACTGCGGTGACCTCACGGCCTTCGTGTTCGGGCAAAACGCCTCGCAGGTACAGAGATACACACACGCACACGCACGCGCACTAAAGACAAAGAGCCCCCGTATAGCCTTGAACACCACACTGTTGGGGCAAGTGCTGTTAGCGAGCACTTCTGAAGGCCGGCACGGCACACGAGGGGGTGGGTGGCCAGCACCACGCCCGACCGCCTTTGTCTCCCCAGTGGCGATGTTTACACACCGCACCAGGTGCTAATTTGAGGCTGAGTCGACCTTGGGGAGGCCCAGGACCGGTTCAGATAATCGTCACCGGTGTTGGCTGTGAGCGGCAACCGCTACACCACCGCTTCTCACACACGACGCGTGCGCGTGTGTGTGTGTGACAACTACATACACACACGTACACACACGTACACACAGACGCAGATACGCATTTAAACACACTCCATTATCAATACCCCGCCATTCGCCACAAAGTGACGGTGACGTCACCACGGCGCCTGTGCCAGGCCAGGTGCACTTTGAGGCCACCACGTGAAGTGTCGAAGGCTCGCTGCTGACAGGAAGGCCACGGGACAGACCCAGCATGTGCCATGGGTTGGCTGACTCAGATGACCGCTAGATGCACCAGCAGCTGTACCCCCCCTACTGTGCCAACTCGTTGCATTTGCAGCACGCACGCCCATCGAGAGATGAAAGCCGGTGACAATCGGATGACTTTGCCGGTTATGAAGCGTGCTTTTCACAGCCAGGGCTCGAACCCAGGCTCCCTCGGCTGCGTTGGCTCGGTTGCTCCAACGCGGACCATCACGAGCCCTCCGAACCAATAGGGCGTGTCCCTCCTCCCCCCTCCTCGACTTGGCTCGTATTCAGACTCGCACACCGCTGGGAGTAACATTTTTGAGCCACCTTTGGGGGCCTTGTTATTGTTTCGCTTTGGGTGTTTTATTGCTCGGGCCTCCGAAGTGCCTCGCCGCGGCTCTCAGGCGCACGCGGTCGAGACGCGCCGTGGACGTGGGATGATGGTCGCGATCCTGCGAGCAGATGCGATGGTCGGTGCAGGCGATGGATGGGGGGGGGGGGGGGGGTCAGGAAATCCAGTGGTTTTATATGAAGTGAGCTTTGAGCCAAGTGGATGATGGTGGGATCTCGGGCACCTGAGTTCGATTCCAGGCCACGGTTTACGGCAGCGGCGAGCGGTATCTGAACCGGTTATTCGTCGCCCTTGTTCGTCGATCTGGCGTTGACCAGCGTGGGGAAGTATGGTCAAGCACCCCCTCTCTCCCCGCCCCTCCCCACTGCTGTTATGGTACGGAGAGGCCTTTATCCAGAAGTTGCTTCACATTCGGCTCATCATTCTTTTTATCCACATGTTTGTTTTTTACTCGGGATAGTTTAAAGTTTATTTTGTTTGAGCAGGCGGTGAGAATGTAGGAGGCCTCATTTGCAAGAGTCACTTAAGTCACTGAAACGACAAAAGACAAAAACGAACCAATTGAAACACAGTAATGAAGCAAAGAAAAACAAAATTAGAACAAAAATGAAAACAAACACTCGCAGCGACCCACTTGCTGTGCTGCCATCACCTGCCGCGTCAGGCGCCACGGTGGTGAGATGTTGTGAGATGTGGTGAGATGTTGTGAGATGTGGTGAGATGTTGTGAGATGTGGTGAGATGTTGTGAGATGTTGTGAGATGTGGTGATATGTTGTGAGATGTTGTGAGATGTGGTGAGATGTTGTGAGATGTGGTTAGATGTGGTGAGATGTTGTGAGATGTGGTGAGATGTGGTGAGATGTTGTGAGATGTGGTGAGATGTTGTGAGATGTTGTGAGATGTGGTGAGATGTTGTGAGATGTGGTGAGATGTGGTGAGATGTGGTGAGATGTTGGAAATGTGGTGAGATGTGGTGAGATGTGGTGAGATGTTGTGAGATGTGGTGAGATGTGGTGAGATGTTGTGAGATGTGGTGAGATGTTGTGAGATGTGGTGAGATGTTGTGAGATGTTGTGAGATGTGGTGAGATGTGGTGACATGTTGTGAGATGTGGTGAGATGTTGTGAGATGTGGTGAGATGTTGTGAGATGTGGTGAGATGTGGTGAGATGTTGTGAGATGTTGTGAGATGTGGTGAGATGTGGTGACATGTTGTGAGATGTGGTGAGATGTGGTGAGATGTGGTGAGATGTTGTGAGATGTGGTGAGATGTTGTGAGATGTTGTGAGATGTGGTGAGATGTGGTGAGATGTTGTGAGATGTGGTGAGATGTTGTGAGATGTGGTGAGATGTGGTGAGATGTTGTGAGATGTTGTGAGATGTTGTGAGATGTGGTGAGATGTTGTGAGATGTGGTGAGATGTTGTGAGATGTTGTGAGATGTTGTGAGATGTGGTGAGATGTTGTGAGATGTGGTGAGATGTGGTGAGATGTGGTGAGATGTGGTGAGATGTTGTGAGATGTTGTGAGATGTGGTGAGATGTTGTGAGATGTGGTGAGGTGTGGTGAGATGTTGTGAGATGTGGTGAGATGTGGTGAGATGTGGTGAGATGTTGTGAGATGTGGTGAGATGTGGTGAGATGTTGACTCCCTCGCCTGGTGTGCAGGAGGTCGTGGGGGTACAGGTGGCAGGGGGTTGAGAGACAGGGGGCGGGGGGTGGGGGACAGGGGGTGGGGGGTGGGGGACAGGGGGTGTGGGGACAGGGGGGTGGGAGGACAGGGGGTTAGGGGTGGGGGACAGGGGGGGTGTGTGGGGGCTTCCACAGGCTTGGGCCCAGATATCCACAAGAGATGCCCCCCCCCCGGGGTGAGTTGGCTGGGGCAAGCCGCGCGCTGCGCAGTGCCGTGTTTGTTTGGGACTCTGTCCTGGCGCCGACGCAGCACAAGCAAACATCGCAGGGAGACAGACGGGCGGTGGGCGACGGGGTGACGGGAAGATGTAAAACACACATGACGTTCACACGCAGTAGCGTGTGTGCGATGCTGCGTGTGTCTGTGTCCACTGGGCAGTTGGAGGCAGTCGCCGTCCAACAACACCGAGCGGAGCCCCGCGGGCGGCTAAAACACGACGAGTGGGCACAGTGGGGGGGTCACGGCCGGTCCATCTGCCGGTCATCTCAGTCATTCAAGCCATGGCACCTGGGTCCATCCCGTGACCTCCTGCCAGGGAGCCTTGCACACGTCACGTGGCCTCAAAGTGCACAGGTGCCTTGGTGACGTCACCTTCATTTAGTGGCGAATTGTCGGTGTTGTTTTTGTCGTTGTGTGTGTGTGTAAGGGTGGTGGGGCGGTGGCGTAGTGGTTCGGGCACTGCGCTACGAACCCGGCTAACATCGTTCGATTCCCGCTCGCAGTCAAATACAGCGGCGAATGTTTGGTGTGTAAACGTCAGAACTGGGGGAGACAAAGGCGGCCGGGAGTGGTGTTGGCCACCCATCCCTCGTGTGCCAAGCCAGCCTTCATTGGTGCTGGCTAGCAGCACTTGCCCCAATGGTCCGTTGAAGGTTACAAGGGGGATCTTTGCTTTTGTATTTGTACGCCTGTGTGTCAATGAGGAGCGGTGGCGCAGTGGTCAGCGCACCGCGCTACGAACCCGCCCACCTGAATCTGATTCCCGTTCACGGCGCAGCATCGGCGACGAAAATCTGAACCGATCCTCTTGGTCAACTCAGCCTTAAGACGGGTACAAGGTGTGGCGTGAGAAAAGAACAACCTCCCCGCGTTGTGCGTGTTGATGCGGGTGAGCAGTGAGCACGCCGATTCCCGATATATGGAACCGGTCCTGGGGCCTCCTCTAGGTTAACTCAACCGTACAAATTAATCACACCTTGTGCGGTGTGCTAACATCGACAACATGGGGACATGAACGCAGCAGGCATGGTGCCTGCCCCAAACAGCTTCCCGATCTTAAATTTCGATTTAAAGCTTTCGTGACTGCAGGGATTCATCTTCTTGGTTATTTCGGTAAAGTCACGTAGAAGGGAAATAATAAAATAATACAAATTAAACATGATAAAATAATTCTCACGACGTTTCGGCCACAACGCAAGCATTCAAACGCTGTCTTTCTGACAGACCTGTTTGTTCACCTGAGGACGGCTGCTTGCGTTGTGGCCGAAACGTCGTGAGAATGATTTTATCATGTTTAATTTGTATTATTTTATTATTTCCCTTCTACGTGACTTTACCGAAAGAACCAAGAAGAGGACCTTCCAGATCCTCTGTTGCGGCCTTCACAGGTGATCGCTGACAGCACTTACCCGACCAGCGTGCGTGGGCTCCAGGGGGTGTTCTGTCTTTCCTTTGGATGCGTGTGTGGAGTGGCCATCGTTCCATTTTTGCCGGAGCATTCTCTGAATGGTCAATTATATGTCTGTGACTGGCATATGTACTCGTCTAATCCAGTGTTTATCGAGTCCATTAGTTTTCTAGTCCAGTGGTTCTCTAATTCAGTGGTTCTATAGTCCAGTGGTTCTCTAGTTTAAAAGTGAAGTTAGTTAAACTACCCTGATTAAACCACCCTAACCCTAAAATCTAAATGCCACCCCCTAACAAAGAACCTCATCGCTGCGTTATATATATTAACGTCGACATGAATCACTTTGCATGAGTGGGGTATTTACGGAGAGAAAGTGAATGCGTCTTGTCACCGGGGGTTGGGTGGTTGAGGCGGGCTGGCGTGGTCCCTGCAAATGTTTGCATCGGCTGAGTGGTGGCCTGGGCCAAACAAAGGTTAAGAACCACCGCTCCAGACCACGTGTTGTGCTGCCGATTCGCGGTCCAATCCCAAGCACGCGCGTCTCTCTCCAAGACGATTTGCGAACTATTCAGTTTTTTGTAAACATTTAAAAATGTTGAGAATAGTTTTTTCCTCTTTTATCTGGCAACTAAACAGGTGTTAAGTTGTTAAAACACCCAACTGAAACCTTTTTACAAGGAATCATGTCTGCATTAACCACAATACTTGTGGTCAGAATGCAACCAAAAAATATACTCTGATAATATATGCATTAAATTTCGATTTAAAGCTTTCGTGACTGCAGGGATTCATATTCTTGG